TATATATATATATATATATATATATATATATATATATATATATATATATATATATATATATAATGGAATACAAAATTAGTTAGTCATTTTTTCCAGTTTATTGTCATTGGTTAGCCCGATCATTTAATTCCACCATGAAATGGAATATAAAGTTGCAACATAAACAAACTAAAATTACGATTTCACCTTTTTTAAATAAGACCAGATTCGATCAAAAACATTGTAATTTAAAAAAAATGATGAAAAGAAAAAAACTTTAACCAGAAAATTGCTCTTCTCATGATTTTTTCAATTGCTTACCGGAAATAACAAACCCTGTATGTGCTTTCAAGGATGCGGTGTCGTCAAATTACGAGTGAGTCTAATCATTTTCTAGGATTTAATATTTATAAATAAAGTATGCTTATGTATTTTTAAAGTCCAGAATATGGAGGGTAATTTTGGAAAGAATTTTGAAGTCTTTACAATGAATGGCTTTTAAATGAATTAATATATTTATAGGTAACTTCATTTCTTGATCGACCAATGCAGTAATAATGCTCATAAAGGTAACGGAATTGGTGAATGAATGGAATTGTTCAGTCCATAATTGTTCATTCCATAGTTGATCATGGAACGACACAGCTTGGATTCTCTTTTCATTCCAACGTCGAATGGAATTAAAAATTATAATATATCCTAATATTTTTTTGATATAATTATTTGTTATACTTTTTATTACAAATTTTGGGATTTTAATCATAAAATATTTATTTCCGAATGTAACAGAAATGTAATGTTATTAAGTTTTTATGTTCAAAAGATGAAAGATGTGGTATTATAAAAGTAAAATAATTAGGTGGATCTCGATTATTGAAATTAGTTGGTCTTATTAATATATCATTATTAGTTTCTTTATACCATCAGTTGTCGGGCTATAGACTTTAATTCTTATGTTTCAGTGTATATGAATAAGTTGGAATTAGTGAATCTAATTTATTTTATTTTTGTTTTCAGGAGTAAAGAATGGTCCTTATGAAATCAAGGTTGGACCTGGACCTAATCAGGATCTGCATCTATTTCTATCGGCATGTTATCTCCATTAAATTTCTCTATACTTTCCATCAGTAATTATTGTTATTTTAACATAAAAAAATCTTCTTTTTATATGGTATTTATGAATAAACTCATTAACTAAAACTACTGAATATCATTGTATCTTGATAGTTTCCTTTGTTCAAATGTTCTAAAATGTACATCTAAATAGTGTTGGGGTTTTAATACTCCATCACGCCATTCGGTCCTAACTCGAGAGAATATATCTGATAGTGGATTCACCGGTAGAAAATCCATTGTCTTCTACACTTCGTCCTTCACATTTACATTGGATTATCTTACAACTTGATTTTTCTTATGGTATTTTCTTATGGTATTTGCGGTATCTACTTCTACTTTATACCATTTTTGAGCATTGTTATAGCGACCTACTTTCGTGACCCACCAAACATCAACAAAAAAAAATGCGACCCGGCCTCTTCCCTAGTTAATATTAAAAGAGTCCGTAAGTTTACACCTTAATTTCTAACTTACCCTAGTAATTTTTTTTGTTATGTTTAATAAAAGTCATGTTTAACATTTATTTTTATAATCGAGTTTTTTCGAGGTTACGAACAATTAGACCCCATTAGTAGGTTATCTTTTGCCACGTCAGTGATGACAAGTCATCTTTTGCCATCAATCATGACAGTTGATCATCTTTTGTCATGTCGCTGGTGACAAGTAATCTTTTGCCTTGATAGCAACAAAGACATTCCTGTTGACGTGGGAAGTCACACCATCTTTAAAAATAAAATGAGTAAAAAAGCTTAGCATGGACCAAAGTCAAATTTTTAATAGAGAGGAGATATGGTTTTTACCGGTTAAGCTAACAAATTTCATTAT